TTTGCCTGCCTTTAGTTGATTGGCCACATACTGCAGAAGACCCTCAAGATCAATTGGATATTTACGAAAAACTGCACCACAGAAACTAGCCAAACTCTGAAGCCAGCTGGAGATAGTTGTGTCATCATGCTTCATTCTCTCCTTTTCTGGATTAGCTAAAGCTTCAATGATACAATAGGCCAAGACATCATAATTCAATGAAGTGAGGTATTTCAATGAATCTACTACAGGTGTTATTAAGTTATCATACTTCTGTATTTGTGACAGGATATAATCAAACAAAATGGTTGGATTGCTGTGGCTCAACTTCCCAATTTGTCTTCCTGAAGGTTTCACATTTTCCTTGGTTAGCCTCTTCATGATATATTTGGCTCTGTCTATTGTTTGAGCTTTAACTTTTACTAAAAGTGGGTGACTCTTATAAGTTTCATTCTTCCACTGGCCATACAGATGGTATCTATGCTGGTAAGGAAATGTTTTAAACATTTCCCATAGTTCCTCAGACATACAAGCATTGCAGTCCATCAAAGAAAGAGATGGAAGTAGTACCTGGTCAGTAATGCTTAGCAAACAGCTAAGGATGACTTCTGTTTTCTCTTTATCTTCTTGTTTGCTTCCATCAGACTCCTTCATAAATGACTTGCCTATGCGTACCACTTTTGCAAATAAAATAGGATCATGAGAAAGGTGAGGACCAAGGTAACAGAACATACTGAATGCATCTCTTCTCAAATCTTCAAAGCTCTCTGCTTGCCTTGTTGCTCTCTTGTTTTGCAAAGCATTAACAGGTGAGCCTTTAGCACCTTTAGGAATGCCAACTCTTCGGTAGAGAGGCTCAATAGTTATGTGAATGAGCTTGCAAATAGCAAGAGCTATTAGCTTATGTGAAGCTGCATAGTATGGAGGCATCTGATCCATAATGTTTTGTGCATGCTACCAATCACCGATCTTTAACAAAGCTTCCAACAAACCAAGTTTTTGGTTGTCAGGTGGCTTCTCTACTTTCTCCTCTTCTTTATCCTTTTCTTTCTCTCGCTCATCAAGTTTTTCAGAAGACAATAAAACCATTGTAAGTTTTCTAACAATTTGCTTAGCTTCCACAATTTCTCGTTTGTGTTCATCCATAATGCAATTATCAGCTGGAAGAAGATGTACATAAAGATCATCTAAATCAATAAGATTACATTGCAGAAGTACTGCTGCAACTCTCTATAAAGACGATGGAGTCTTGCCATTTGGTTCCTGGTAAAACTTGAATTTGAACCCAAGAATATGACACAGTGTTTGCGGTTCACACATACTCATGTAAGATTCTAATAAAGATATAAAGAAGTCATTGTGTTCTGGCCTGCATTCAAACACTTCTAAAATGACATCCAAAACTCTATTGGGATCCAGATTAAAGCATCCTATTAAAGATTTTATATTTTCTAAGATTAAATCACTAGTAATATTTCCAGATAAATCTTTCCCCAATTCAGCAATCAGCTTGGCATATCCTTCATTCTCTTCTCTTAACAAATTGAATTTCTGCTGCTTGTAGAAGAGTTTTGTCTTGATTTTAACTGACTTTTGATTGAATTGCTGTGACTGTTTAATGAGTCCCAATGATTCCAATGTTTCTGGATGTAGGCATTCCTTTAGAACTGTCTGAAACTAAATACAAACATGCTAACACCAACTGTGTAAAATAGTCTCTCTTGCTTTTGTCTTCTAAACAATTTATCTCAATATCTAATATACAGAAAACATCAGCAAGAATGGAGGGCATATGCTCACGAAATTCACTAATGTCCTTAAGAACATTTGATGCCTGTTCGTGCTTTAAATTTCTGTTAATGACATGATATGACAATTCATACAAAGCTTGCTGTAAATCTCTGTAAGTTGCACTATCATGGCTTTTATTTTCACTGAGAAGCCGGCATAAATGCAAAAATTTACCTCTCCCGGATTTCTCCCAGTTCTTTATCCACTCAATGGGGAGGGCCACGGTCGCTGCCTCCATCCTTCCCCTCCCTAGTAACAGAGGTCCGAATGTGTAGCACGCGAGCAAGGGGTCAAAGGGGAGCACCGCCCACGCGGAATGCCGCGAGCTGCGAGTTCGGTTTGTGATTTCCCTCCCCCTTTCTCCCCTAGCCTGCCGAAGCCCAAGGCCGGGCCACTAAGGAGGTGACTGAGACCCGTGGGCCCCTTCGCGAAATGACTAAACGCTGGCTGCCTGTAGTGTTCACTTTACAAATATTAATTTGGCATGTTTCTTTAAAAAAAAAATTAAAAAATTTCTGCCTCAGTCACAAAGATTTGCTCTAATGTTTTCTTGTAGAAATTTTAGAATTTTATAAAGGTTAGTGATCTATTTGACTTAATTTTTTATTAGGAGTAAAGAATTGCTCAAAATGTATTGTTTTGTCTGAATATACAGTTCCAGCATTGTTTGTTGACAAAGGATATCCT